TTTGGTACAATCAATCCATGGAAATAATGTACATCTGGAAACAAAATTAGTAAGAAAGATATGATCAAATTTTGAATCCGAAAAAAAGATGGTGACGATGACAAAGATCAAAGTGTATCGGGTTCAGATGGTATGTATTTTAAAATTCATCATGTTAACTCATCATGTTTGAAGAACTTAAAGTAATCGGTTAAGTAATGAGACTTAAAAATAAGCATAATGATCTTTAAACAACAAACTATTCCCATTAGCGTTAGTACAAAATTACTTTAGCAATCGGCTTATAATACATATATGTTCTTTTTTTAGTAGAAAGGACTGGTCATTCTCGTCGTCCTCGTAAATAAAAGTTCTAAGAATTCTTTGGTCGTCAAATATATTATGGAAATTTATTACTTTCCGGAATAAACCAATAAGCATTTAAGTAGAATAGTTTTCTAAATTAGATTATATAGTAACCTTTCATGAATGCACCTCCTTGGAAAGATAGAAGATTGACTGTAATGCATAATACAATGCGTTCTTTGTAAACATTGTTTTTCAGAATCCGTTTTAGAACAATTCTACATTATTATACGTACTGTATTTTTTGGTATTTTTTGGCATACTATATTTTTTACTTATTCTCTATACTGATAAGAAGATAATTCGAATTCGTCTACGGGGATGTTGTTGTCATTCTTAATTAACCAGTCTTGTCATCCTTTAAACTGTAATAAATATTAATTTCAATTAACTTTTATCACAAATGAAAACTGTATAAGTGCACTTTCTTACTCTAATAACACTCCATGTAAATACTTGCAGCGATTCTATTAATCAATGAGCTGCTACTTAAAATCTTAAACTTCTATCACAATTAAAAGTGTATATATGTATTTTTTTTTTAAAAAAAAAAAAAAACCTACCGCCAGGAGGCGTAATTTGTATATATGTACTTAATTCTTGTACATAAAGGTTTTTTTTTAGATAGTGTCTGCATAATTCGATTTTTTAAAGAAGAGTCTCGAAGACTCGATTCTAAAAATCATGAAACCGAACCAGACCCTAACAAATCGGTTTGATGTTTCGGATAGAGTCTGCGGAACACTAATTTTAGCATATTGGATTTGCGGAATTCGACCTGAATTGATCCTAAGTTATATCCTTAAAGTTATTCGCAATGTGAACCCCAAATTTTGTAACAAACAAATATACGTACATATAAAGATAATTTAAGGTGTAAATAGATGCAATAACATTGTCATTGTATTTATTTACCCTTAAATTATTTACTAGTCATGAAATATGGTGTATATGAAGTGATTGTCAGTGAAATAATACGGATCACTTTTTATTAAGTTATTTATTTAATAATTATAATCAAAGATCTGAAAACAATGTACCGTATTTTCGCGTAATAACGCCCTCCTGCGCGTAATTTTGAGTATATGCGCATTATTTCGAGTACGCGCATGAGCGTTATTTTGAGACAATTAAAAAATTTTATGTAATACTTGTATAAAAGTAAACAACCAAAAATACTAGATTTAGTACTAAGTAACCTTTCTTCGAGCTTTAACAAAAGTTGATCTGAAAAACAACTTTTGTTGAAGTTCGAAGGTTTGCTTAGTAGTAAAACCAGTTCCGAGGTCTTTTTAAATCTTACTATAAATAAACATCCTTACTATGGGGTGCGCGCTATTTTGGGACGCGTTTTTAGGAGACACGATTTTCGAAATAACACTCATGAGCGTTATTACGCGAAAATACAGTATGCACCTCTTATTAATTTATTATCTGCGCTAATTTGTCTTTTATTCAAGTCAATTTAGCCAATATACAATGATTATCTGTTTATTATTAATTTCTTATTTGTGCTAATTTACTTAATTGAAAATCCCCTTTTATTAAGCTTATTAAGCTTCTTATTAAAACTAATCTAAGTATAAATTATATAGCCCTTTATGAACATAAAATGTAGAAAGCCAAGGCGCCCTTACACTTGTTTATTATATAATAAAATTTTAGTAATTATTAAAATTTATGTTTTCGTAATTTATTATTATCTTCAATAACATTTATCTGCTTCGATCATCATCTATTAGTTTTATCGCCTTTGTAGTTTCGTCAGTTTCGACACCTTTTGTTACCTTTTGTCAGCTTCGATACCTTTTGTCAGTTTCGACACCTTTCGACAGTTTCGACATTTCGTCATTTGAGATTTTAATAGATGAAAGTCACGCGAAATCTCGAGGTTTCGTCTAACAACTATAGTATTGACCAAGAGATTTCTTCAAAGTATGAAATGTTCTAGAAATTGATAGCATCATTTCATTATGTTTATGCCAAATAAGGGGAAAAACTAGGGTAAGCGGGTCAACAATTGCAACATCTATAAGCATGGCACCGGAAACAGAAAAATAAGGCCCTAAAGTACAATTAAAGTCAATCGAAAATTCAGAAAAAAAAAATATCAAGCTGAAATTACTACAATACCTGCAATTGTAACTAAAAAGCATGGAAAGCTATTTGCTTGTTCGTTGCAGAAAACTAAATAATAGCTACAATCATCATATTTATACTCAAAGTTAGCTACACGGTACTTAGAAAAAAACACAATGCCGTCGGTACGTGCTTCCTTTAAATTACCATCAGAATTTTACATTTAATCATATGTAACTCAACTGAATGGCCGAGATATTCTTCTAGCATTTTATTTGCTATATCTTGGTGATCTTCCTCTTTTTCATAATATTTGGCCATTTCATAACAAATATTATAAGTAAATTGATTGTCTTCTCTTTCTGGATCTTCCTTACAAAAATCCTTAAATTTACCAAAAATAGAAAAAATTATATGAGTTAATAACAGCTATAGTGCTGGAAGCCTCTGGTGAATAATGAGTGGTAGGATTGTTTAAATTATTCTTTAGGAGTTCTAAAAGTTGATGGTGCTAGCAAATCACCTATCATTTCTATATATGATCTTTTAACACCTACTGAGCAAGATGGTTTACGTTCAGTTGTTTGCTATTTGCTGATAGTTGAAGTATCATACCTTTCTTTACGCCAAGAATTCTAATGAATTATTAGCCGAGCACTTGTGTTTTTCAATAAAATTGACAAAATCCTTTCTCGACCAGCTAAAATCTATGTTTTTATAGCTAATAACAACCTTATAATCTATAGTGAACCCTTAAGACCAAAAGCTTTTCCAAACGGGCATATAACTGAATAAAATCTTCCCAGCCATCGGCACAAAGTTTTATAGCTTTTGATTCAAAGTACTGAAAGTATATAGAAATTAAAATAAAATTAATATATTGGTTAACGTAAAGATATATCAAAATCATAATAGTTTTGGAGATATGCATGATATTAACCTTCCTCTTTAGCCTTAGGTACCTGTAATATTGCTGGCCTTTCTTTCGATTCTTGCAAACTCCTAATTCAATGCAGTCATAGCTATATAACATGCGTATAAGGCACAGTTAAATAAATGAAATTATTGTGGATGAAGCAGTGTAGGTTTGAAATATTTGAATGCAGTCATGGTACTGTATTTTCGCAAAATAACGTGCCGGGTGTAATTTCAAATTTTGGTCTAAATTAAGTTTAATTCGGGCCATTACTCTAAATAATGCCCCAGCCTGTTATTTTGCGAAAATACGGTACTACTTATCCTCTCCTTTGTCCTTGATTTTTTCAATCAATCCCGAGATCTTTTCAGCTGGTCTTAGTTTTAAACCAACTTGTATAAGTTTATCCATGTTCAACCTGAAGAAAGCTTCTCTATAAATTTCTTGTTCACGAAGAATATCGAAATGATTATCCTTAAGTCCTTAGCCTTGAGTTCTTCCGTTGTCTTATATTCTTCACCTTAATTGATTGTAGGAAGTGAATTATTTTTCTGGTAGAATAAACATATTCACATATTTAATTTTTGAATAGGACGAAAATTTTTTTTAATAAGAAATCATCGTACAAATTCGCCGTAATGGAGGTCTTATTGATTGGGTTAAGTTTGTAGGGTAACAGCATTATGTAAAAATTAAAAGGATGAATTTGACCATCACAGTTATGTTTATTCGATAATTTCAATTAATTTAAAGGTATTAAAAACCAAATACACATGACCCTCGTTAATAACAACCTATTTGGACCTGTTCTAAATTATGTTGATAGTGATATTAACGAGGGTTTATATTAAAGTTGATATATAAAAGGGAATTTTAATATATAAAAATTCATAAAATTTGGTTTTTGGCTTAGGTTGATATTAACAAGGTTGATATTAACGATGGTCAAGTGTATTCAAGGCATGGTTTTCATATTAATCTTGAAAAAGAATATTGGATGAATGACATGAAGCATCTTAACGGATCTTGTAAAATAACGATCATATTTTAAAGAACCATAATATACCTCTGATTTGAATTAGATTTGTCATATGTTATATTATATGAATTCGATACAGTAATAATATATGAATATGACTCAAAAAAATAAGATCGTAGTTATCTTTACATTTACATTCTTGTAATTCTTCTTTTCAAGCTCTCTCACAGATTTCGGCAGTCAGAACTCTTTGAGAATATGATAATAATATTGTAAAAAAAAAAAAAAAAAAAAAAAAAAAAACATACAGTAATTTGAGTACGCAATGTTAACAAATAAAATAAAAGATCACACATCATTCAACTATATTCTTTTCTTCTGGGATATTATGAAGATCAAGACCATAATCAACACTATTAGAATTTTAAAAACATCTTGCATCCTTCTAATTAGCCTTTTCTGGATCAAATTCGTAATAAAAATGAACTTGTTCATTCATTGTTTATTTTTTTTTTGACAATATCAAAGTTATCAATAGGTTCCCAACTGATTATACAAAACAAAAATTGGTAATTAAACTGAATATAAAAAAGTTAGAAAAAGGATTATAAAATAAAAGAATTACGTACTTTTAGAGTGTCTTTTCCATTCAACAAGGAAAATGTCATATATATTAAACAAATGGGGAACAACCCACTTGAAATCCATCCCGGATTTGTAGCGTCTGCCCTGAACACAGCAGCGGCAATACCACTTACAATTGAACGACACTTTTGTTGCAATGACGTGGTACTCAAAAGAACAAGGTTTGTGCTTTATTTATTTTATTTATTTCGTATTACTTTATCAAACTCTGTCCGCATCACATTACAAGCCACCCGATCCTTCATGTGAACCCGTCCGTAGTTTAAATTCTGGAATGGATCGATTTGTGTTTATCATCTTGATCACAAAAATAAATAATGATAGCGATAGTTTTGAATTTATTATGATCTTTATACGTATTTTATATATACATATATGTATTTATATAATTATTTTATGTTCAGAAGCCATGCTTCCAAATATATTCCAGCAATTTTTATCATGTATAATCTCAAAGCTCTCGTAGTCATGAAGGCGCGCTCTTGTTAAAGAATTTATTACACATTGCGGAGAAGATATGACAATTGTTTTAGTAATCAATCAAAGAACGATATTCAAGTGTTGGTTTGTGGAATAGAATTTAACAAATTTAACAAGTGGTGATCAAAGAAATTCAAATCAGCAGCTTAATTTAGAAGAAAACACCAATGAGTACAAAATTCATCTTCGATCAAGGTAATCTGAAAAATAAGAAATTAATAAGTGGTTGAGACACGGATATTGATACTCATTTTCTACAGATAATCCTGCGACTATTATCAGTAAAAAATATCATTGATGATAATACTGACATGCAGTAGTAATACTTGATTTAATCTCGATTTTGTATATTTTTTTATCCTATTATCGACATAGCGATAGAACTTATCTTTTATATTTGTTAAGAGAATTTAACGTATTTTTGTGCTTGTAACGGGCAGGATGAAATTCAAATTTTAAATGAGATTGACAATCCACCAGACCTAATTCTTAGTGGCAAGTAAAATCTATAATTACTGTATTTCTATTTACTATAACATGTTGAATATTATAATGAAATGAAAATGAAACAGAAGTTTTTATCCAAGATTAGTAAGCAGCACATTCTAAATAATAAAGACTATATTGTTTTACCTTTACCATATTTGTTGTTCAAAGTGAATAAACAAGCGATTGATCGTTAGACTTGATTTCTGTATTCTTGGTGCTAAGCTAAGCTGTTGGTATCGCTTACCCCTGCAACACTTAGTTAGATAATTGTAAACCTAAACGAGAAGCTGATGACGTAATTGCCCATAAAGTGATTAATGTAAGTGTTGCGTAAAATTCTTCTTCAAATTATAACTTATTATTCATTGTCGAACGAATATCAATACACGTCCGTAGTATATTTGGGTATGATTACGTGTACTGATAGATCAGGTGCTTTTAATAGAATATAGTGCAGTTAGATGGTAATACTGTGTATAAAAGAATTAAAAAACTCAGCTTTGAGAAACAAACACTGTGCGAGTTATATATAACATACTGTATATAATTAATAATAGCTAGATATTAACAACCCGAAATTTTTTTAAAGTTGTACCGACTATAAAGTAGACAATGATAATTTGACAGGGTTTATTTTAAACGTTTATAAAAATTTTTTATATTTTTTTTTATTTAAAAATTTTTGTCATTATACCTACTTTCAATTTGAAATAACTTGACTATAAAATAACAGTACAACGAGTGATAACAACTGGGGTTATATTTAATATAAGTAGTTAAAAGGGCGAGGATAATTTGGCAAATTGAGACTACTATTATTTTTTGTACGTACATTTCGTATGTACCATCGATTCATCTTATTACAGTATTAAGAATCTGATAACCAGTTCACGAGACATTTTCATCAGAATAGTATAATATGAAGAGTATTATTAAGAAAATAGGCATTTGATGAATTGAAATATGTTTGGCGATACTCAGTGACCGGAGTCGTTCTTTTCGAGATTAATCGTAATATATAAAAATTACTTGAATCCAGTCCAGTCACTGAGTCTCGAGATATTTCAGCTCGTTAAATTACTTCTGTACAAACTTGGTATAATATTTGTTCGATAAGCTTTGATTTCAGCATATTCGATAATTTTATTACATACTTTATTTTCTTATGATATATTTTTTAAAAAGGATAGACATTATATTCCTACTAATAGGTGAATAAAAGTATAAAGCACACTAGTCTTGCGACCTTGAAAAGTATACATTTAGTAATAACCAAGTTTATTTATCTTTTTAAAAAAAATTATCTTGAATATGTCATTGCTTATTATCTATTCGGAGGCATACAAGTCTTTATAAACCTTAATTAGATATCACATATTCTTTCTTTGAAGATCTGCAATTCGTCTGTTGGAGAAGGGCGTTTGAATAAGAGAGACGTGAAGGTCTTGGTTCAGTATTTGCTTTACCGAAAAATTTTACAATGTCCTGGGCCAACAGCTATGTTCATAAATCAACATGCAAAATTAACAGGCTTATAATGCATACATATAACAAATTTTGCATTTAACACTTACTACCTATTTCAATATATATTTATAAAAGTAAGTAAAATTTTGCATCTCTGAAAATTCTTGTGGCAAATTAACGTTATTAACTTCATTTAATCAAAACCTTCCTAAATTGAAATCAAAAATAAAAAATTAATAAACCTATCAATACTCTCTCACAGTCTAAATAAAAGTAAATATACCACAGTAATCAAGATAAGTAGTCAAAAACTTTGTCCACCAAACATGAACAACTTCTTTGGCAAACATCTACGGGTATTGGTAACTTCCATTTCAATGTTTGAATATAGATTTTTCAAATTGCAGAAAAGTTTTTTAGCATTAGTAATTTCCTTTTCTGGCTTCTTCTCAGCAGGCCTTGATCCTTCGAAATACACAATTTGGAATTTATCAACATCAGTTATAAAATCAACACTGTCTGCATGATTCCTATTAATATAGTTTCTAGATGAAATTTCCCCATATTTATAATTTATTTTGGCTAAGTGCCATAGAGCACTGTCAAGACACAAATATACAAATACATTGAGATGTGGTTGCTCAATTGTTGCAATATTTAACAGAGGGTTTTGGACCCCAAGGGAGAATACATTTATGCTATTTAAAAGAAAAAATAGTAAAATTAAAAAATGAATTAGCATGTTGATAATAACTATAAATGCTAGTGAAATTAATTGCACCAATTTCACCACATTTCACCAGTATCTATAATAATGACTACATACAACTGTGGCAATGTATGATGTAAAATTCAAATCAGTGCAGTTATTAGAGAATCATCTTGCTCTGGAGATCATAGATCATCAACTTTAATTTGCCATTCATTGGCAAAAATCTTTTGTGAAAAGAACTTCAATAGAAATTGGTGCACATTATCAGGAATTAAAAATTCTGTTATATTGTCTATCTCTAATAAATATGACATTGCTATTGATTTCGAAAGCCTTCTGAGAAAAGGTAAACATAAGTGAAGATCAATCAAATTGTCATTAGAATATTGTTCTATATGCACTAAACAAATATTTTTTGATGTCTTCGAGCATTCAATAGCATTTTCTAAGAAGTCCATTATTACCTGCATAATGAATATACTAGTCAATAATTTACCCAAATTTGGTTTGTTTAAATTTTTGTTAGTTGCTTACTTTGTTTGTATTATTCTTAGTTTCATTATCAGTGTTGTCAACTTGATTTTCATTATCAGTATCATTAACTTACTTTTCATTAATAGATTTCATTAAAACAGATGAAGAAGCTCCATTCTTATCTTCTTGTGACTTTTCAAAAAAACTACCCAATATAACTATAATTTCATTCTCTTCATCTTCTGCATTAAAACAGAAAGGTTTATTGCTGTCAAGTCTTTCATCTAAATTTTCATGAACTGTGATATGTGCTGGCATTTTCCTTTCTTTATTATTAAATATTGGCTTTGTAAGTACCATTTCAGTTTCTTAAGCTTGAATAAAAAAAAAATTAACATACACCTGTCTTCAGATTACTTCTTTCATTCTTATACCAATTTCAGTTGTCTATATACTTATTAGCATCTAATTTTTTTAACAAATTCTCCAAAGTGGGATTGTCTTTCAAAGATTCATTTAATCGTAATCTATAATCAAGATAACCAGATTTTTTATTGTGATAATTGAACTTCTTAAAGAAATTTACTGGAAAAGAATCTTTATTATCTTTTAAAAAATTTTTTTGCTGCTCACGAACTGTTTTTGTTCTTATTTGTCTAGGTATTTAACACAACTAATCAAAATTGTAAAAGTTTTCCAAAAAGTGCTAATAAGTCAAAATTTTGTCTGAAATCAACTTTTATGCTTTGATAAAAAAATTTTTTGCAGAATTTTGTTATATAGTTATTGTTTTGAAGATTTTGATTTTTACATTTTATTGGCCTGATCTGATGTAATATAAAATATAACATAACATAAGTAAATAGCTTTTTCATGAATAATTAATAATTAATACACAAGAATTTTATTATTTTTAATAAAAATTTAACCATTTTAAAGTATAGAATAATAAATAATAATGTATTTTTGGTAGTAGGTTCAAAAAAAGTGTTAACCAAAAAAAAAATAATAACAGTTATTACACTTATTTGGAAATTTAACTATTTTTAAGTATAGAATAATAAATAATAATGTGTTTTTGGTAGTAGGTTCAAAAAAAGTGTTAACCAAAAAAAAATAATAACAGTTATTATACTTATTTGGTGGATTTGTAAAATATCCCCAAAATTTGAAAAATTTGATCACTTATTGTAATTCATTTAATTGACTTCACATATGGGATCTCCTACAGCAAAACGAACCAGTGGGATGATCATCTGATTTTGAGAAAATTGCATTTGAAAATTGTCATGTGATTTACAACTTATCTCTCAAATTTTTCGGCCTTATCTTTATAATCGACAAAGAATTTTTTTTTTTTATTAATTTATTTTACTAGCAATATGTAAAATTATAAAAAATATTGTTCTTGGCACTTTAATTTATTTAATATTTATTTTTTCACCGTCGCTATTGTTATTTTTTTTTGAATAAATATCAATCCTTAACATTGAGTTTTTTAACTTATTTTTTTATTTTAAGTTATTGCTGTTACCATTATCCCTTAAGTACTTATTGTATTTTAATTTAATAATGCTCTTATTTATTTATTTATTATTTATTTATTTATTTATTGAGGTAGTATGTATATATGTACTGTATATAAAAAAATTTCACCACTAGCTAGTACGTACTTGATTTTTTCTTAAAATTTTTGGTTTGACAATCAAGTTTATTCTGGATTCTACTTTTTAACTTTATTTGATTTTTAATAGCGCAAAAACCAAACTTGTTTTACACTAAATTAGAATAAACTGAACTCTGTTATTTATGTTGAGTTCAGCACAAATCTAACGCTACAACTAATAAAACTATCGTGAAAAAAATTTAGCTTATTTTTTTATCCTAAATTTTTGGTTCAGGACAAGTAATGTTGCGGAAAGGTAAATCAATATAAGGAGCGATTTCTTTATATAATTCTTCCTGTCTTTTTTGAGAAAGTGGTTTGGCATCAATTGTAGAGAGTGGGTATCAGCATTAAAAGAAAAGGGATGAATTGTAAAACTTTCATAATTATCTTGAAGATCATCTTTAAAAAAGACGATTCCAGGGTGTTGCGAAGTAAAATAAAAATAATGGTACTTTTGAATATGAGGTAATTTTTTGAATGCTTGAAAGTAATTTTTAAAATCATAATATTGAAAGCCTTCTTCATTAAGATAACGTTGAGCAATGTTAAAATTAATTCTTGTAGAATGATTAACAATTGAGACTACATCTTCTACAGTATTGACCTTGCTTTTTCGGTAGAGAATTTTGATTAGACCAAAACAACCATTACATATAAATTTAGTGTATTCTGGAATCATAAAATTTAACTCAACTTCATCATACATCTTGCGATCGACTAACTATGAATAAAAAAATAATGAAAAATTATTCTTGTTCTAACCTATACAATTATCGCATGTAACAGCCAACTTTTTTTCCCCACGATTATATTTAAGAATTGCATGCCAGACCAAGCTTAGAGTGCAATTCACGCCTTTACCTTCCTTACTATCGTCGGGCATTTCAGCTTCATCAGTAACATAATTTGTTTGTTGCGTATGTAGAAAATTACTAGTGTTACAAACACCGAATAAATGTACTTTTCGTAAACTTTTAAAAAACAAAGCACCTATTTGTTGTGGTGAATGAGGTATTTGCACGTTTTGAGCTCAATCATATGCAATATGGGCACTACCACTAAAACTTTTAAATAATATTTAAGAGCTGACTACATTTGGATTGTGTTTGCTATCTTCAACTGCATTTATAATGTTAGCATTATAGTAGTCACGTTCTTTTTGTGCTCGATTTAAGTGGGCCAAGTAACTATTAGTAAGCTCTAATTTTTTTTCATATTGTGAAGCATATCTAATATCCATTTTCATTATTTCACATGTTTCACATAAATCAGTTTTCGAGGACATAAATTGAAGTGATAGCATTAATGATTTCCAAATATTAGTAAAGGTTGATTCAGCCAAAATACGAGCATCCTTACTATACTTATCTTTACAAGCCTGTACATAGTCATGATATACTGATGCATAACTAAAACTTGTTGGAAGAAATACAGTTGGCATAGTAATTTTGTTAGTGACGTCCAGGTGAGGGCATACCATGTATGTTAGAATAGTTTTTTAAAAACTTAAATATGTCACATGCCAAATCATAATTAACCTCAATACGATTTATATTTTTAGGAGCTCTACCGGTATTGCCATGTGTACGTTCTTCAAGGCCGTGCTCTTGCAAATGCTGTTTAATATTCTTTAAATATTTAGGACCAACTCCAACAAGATTTAAATATGTATCAAGACACACTGGAATGTCATGATTATAACAATAGTTAAAATGTAAATTTTTTCTATTATTATTAGTAACCTTATCTGTATTTTCATTTCTTTGAAAAGCTAGAAGTTGCCCCTTAATAACCATATCTCGTATATTTTTCTCTAAACTTTCAAATTCAGCTCGACGCGCAAGAAATTTTTCATACCCGATTTTCTCAAAACAGGATTGTTTAGAACGGCATAAGCACTGACCTTTATCAAAATTTTTTTTAATTTTTAATTTTAAATCATTGTAAATTTTATCTTCAATGTAATTGTCTGGAATGTCTACAAAGTTAAATTTATTTAATTTATTTAAAAGAATATCAGGAAAATCATCATCTGATATTGATTCATCGTCTAATACAGAGTTAGATTCTTCGCTTTCAGAATCTAAATAATCAGCAAAAAAAGTATCATCTAACTCTTTCAACGCAGATAAAACGACTTTATTTATACTATTGTCATGAGAACGTATATTATATTTCATACTTTTAAGATAAAAAAAAAACAATAAAAGTTCTTTAATTTTTAAATTCTTCACATCTGTATAATTATATATATACGTACATATGTATTGTACATACATACGTATACGTATGTATGTACATACGTACTTTATCAAAATGCTACATCGCCCAAATTATCTCTTGCTTCTGCATTTTACAAGTTCAAGCGTGTAATTCTATGGCATTTATGTATATAAATAGTTAGTTATCATAGCATTTAAGAAACATGATTTATGCTTAAAAATAAATACAACTGTAAATCATTGTATGTGGTACATATGTTAATCGATTTTTTACTATAACGGTAACAAAGAAAAAAATTAAATTCATATACATTTTCAGCAAAAAAAAATATATCCTTATAAAGACAAGACTTTTAAGTAAATGATCAGCATAAAATCTCAAAATCTGATTGGTCCGCCCACTAGTTCGTTTTGCTGTGGGGGGTCCCATATATATAATATTATTATTCTGATTTACATATAAGAAAATGAGTTAGATACATTGTTATTATAGATTGAAGTGTTAATAATTTTTTTTAAGAGGTTTTATCTAGAGTTTTGCAAGCCTGTTCAAAAATAGGCATATAAAGTACAAGTGTAATACAGAGTCTATTGTATCCTAGTTTGTACATAATCATATATAAAATATATATCATCAAGTTGTAGTTTAATTAAAAGTAATAATGTAGTTTAATAAAAGTCCAATATATGAAATAAAACAAACACAAATCTTGTTTTTCTAAGTGCTTATTGTTGTTGTTGTTCAAATGTAAATCTGTTAAAAGCAGCCTTGCTGATGCTGTATGTTCGAGCAGGTGCTACAAATCTAGGCTGGCTGGATTTCAAGTGGGCTATATCCATTGTTAACCTATATAATATTTATATAGGATCGAATATTATCTTGTTGAGTAGAAGAGTTACTCTAAAAATACGAAATTCTTTTACTTTTTATATATATCTTTATTAACTTTATATTTATTTTAATTACTAATTCTTTTTCATATCATCATTCAAAATAGCAAAAGTGATAAATCGTCCAAATCTATCTACAAATCACACAAAAAAAACAAAAACAACCCTATTTTAAACAACCTGATCTAGAAGAAAAGGAGATGTTTTTAAACGCGATCAAGAAGTCAGAGTATATAAACTACCAAGCCTATAACTTGGAAAGGATTGAAAAAAAAAATAGTAAATCTATATAATTATATAATCAAAAAGTATATAAACTTTTTTTTATTTGTTAATATTGTATACTCAAATTATTATACTTCTTTTTTTTTTATTTACAATCCAAAATTGGTGAAAGAATACAAAAAGAAAATAATTAAAACATCAAGAAAAATATGATTTTATGAATATCAAAAAGAATTTTTTTTCATATTTGCTAGTGCAAATATAATAATTATAATTGCTTTTTAAAAATTTAATAATTTAAAACTAGGGTTGGAATCTCGCGGCCTAGTGGTCTAGGCACCCAACCCTTTATGAGCGGGTTTCAGGTTCAAGTCCTAGTGGGTACATTTATCTACAAATATTTGGAAGTATCTGCCATGGAAAGTCCAAGTAAATACAGGTCTGGATTAGGAATTTCCAGAAGGAGGTCCATTGTGAAATAGTTGGCACTATGTGTAATGGTAGTTGTTATAGAAGGTTCTATTACACAAAGGTTGTGCATATAAATCCGTGATTGGCAAGGTAGCACCAACAACCCCTAAGGCAGCATTGGGATCTTGTTTGGAGAATGACCGGGCAGTAACCAGAATTGGAAAGTGGTGAGAAATATGGTGAACACAAAGGGACCTGTGGTAAAAAATTGGCCTTATCAGATTTGAAACATCTCTGGCACATACAGAACTTACAGGCCAATAAGAAGTTGAAGCATGGAGGCATGTATGTGTGATAGACCTAACAGGCTCTGGTCGTACCTATATAGGAGCCCTTGGCATTAAGAGAACTTGGAACCACCAATATAGATATAGCTGGTATAAGTGCATGTAGCGGAAATCGGAGGCTACAACTGCTGAGAATCACTATAAAAAGAAACGATGATACACCTGTTACCTCTGAGCCTCATGATGCTATCCAACTATACTAACTACTGAAAGCATTTGCGAAACATGTCTGAGCAGCCTCATTACTATATTGGGAAGTACAGTTGTTAGCACACACCAAATTGAATACATTAAGACCTGGGTTCTAAAAGTTGCAGGAAACCAGCTAGTTACGGCAGCATGCAGGCTTGAGATACTTACCTATTTGAGTAGAGGCAGCTGCATGGCTTGAGATACAAACTCCTGGAAGTATGCTAAGTAGGGATTGAGGAAGAAAATTCCTCTGACAGGCACACCAAACCAAAAGCAATAAGCATCTACCTGGTATACCCCGATTTGGGAGTTGAAAATAAATAGTTTGTGGGTAATGTGGCAGACATATGAATACTAATTGGCGGTTGGGAAGAAATGTATAAATCTAGGTCAGCTGTATAGTGGGGATATGGTTGGCTCTGGTGGGTTTTAGCCATAGATAAATAGTTTGTATATCTGATGTCCTAGTTTTAGTACTTGATGTAATATGTATATGTATCGGCACCATCATATGTCAATCATTTAAGTATTAAATAAAGTCTAAGTGCGGATACTACACCCTTATAATTAAATAATAATAATAATAATAATAATAAATTTTAACACTCCAGACTAACTAGTATGTGGTTCCTAGTTTAAAAAACTATATTTTTTATTTTATAAAAATAAAATAATAAATATAGTCAAACTATATTTTTTATTTTATAAAAATAAAATAATAAATATAGTCAAACTATATCTTGTTATAGTTACTCTTAATATAGTTATAATCTTAATAAAATTATATTATTTTTTAATTCAAGCTAATATAAAATAGACTTTTATTAAAATGCATCTATAGTGTTTTATACTTATATATATATTATCTCAAAAACTAATTAATTAATCAATACAAGATGTCCTAAGTAAAATACCTTCAAAACTCTAACTTTAAATATAGCACTTTATGAAAATTTTTATATTCAAAACTTGGAAAAATCTAAAAACATAATAAAATATATGATAGGTGCAAAACCACTATAGGTACATTTTATAAAAAAATACTATATATATATATTATTAATTATTTGTATAATAAAATTTTTGTAGCAAGATTAAAATTAAAATTAAAAGTTAAATTAGTGTTAAATAAAAGCTTTTTTAAAAAGCCAAAGTTTTGTTTAAGTTACAAATATTAATTATTTAGCTAAATTTTAATACTAATATTATTAATTATGTATTGTTATATATAAATTTTAATACTTATAGCTATATTTATAATACAAACATTGCTATCTTTGCATTACTTGCCTACTATTGGCATTATTGGCAGGCTTTTAAAATATGTAACAAAGCAAGTTAAATCTTATATAGAGATTTTAAATAATCTACAGAGAACTGAACTAGTAGAGACTAGTTCAGTACTGGTTTAAACCCAGTTCAGCTCTCATATAATATGAATAAAATTATTTTTAACACATTAAATAAAAAGTGAATCAATAATACAATCTGAATGGTAGTATTTTAAAAAGTATTATAAAATCTATATTAAATCACTAGAGTATGCCTACTATAGAGCTAAGGATGTTGAATTGCAAATCCAGTCTGGTTTGGTTCTAGAAGCTGAAATGACAGTCCTAGACTTGATCCAAAAAATAATAGTTGATTGACCCCAGATTGGGTCCTAAACCACATAAATTTATCTAATCAGATTGATAATTTATCACAGATATAAAAACTTTACTGTTGCCAATATTCAATATTTTAATATTTTATTCGAGAAAAAAAGTTATACAAAAAATTTTCATATAAAAAACAAATTTATATTATACAAAAAAAAATTATACAAAAAAATAAATTTATATAAAAAAAATGATTTATATAAGGCTATGCAAACAAATAAATTGGTTCTTATTACCCAGCCAGATAACTTTTTTAGGAAAGTTAAAATTTTTTTCTATATAAAATTTTTTATTTTTGTATCATATGAAAAAAAATTTTATAAATTTTTTTTTATATGAAAAAAATTTGTAAATATAATATTTTTTGCCGGCTAGCTGGGCCCTATTTGCTTGTCAAATGCAACGAGCACCAACTAATTTAATTTGCATGGTCTAAAATGAATTTTATATAAAAAATTTTTTTATATAAAATAAAAAAATGAAAAGAAAAAA